CGTAGAGTACGTTAGTTAATATAAGAAGAAACGTCTAGCTTCGCGGTCTCTCTCTCTCTCATTTGGATGCACGTCTTGCCGCATTGTTTCTCTCTTATAACCTCATTATTTCTCACTAATAACCTAACTGAAGCAGCACATGCCCTTGATACGAATTCTAAAAGTGACGTATGTTTAACTGTCAACTTGAGCTTTGAATCCGTGGCGGATGGAAGTAGTTCTGCACAAAAGAGGGTTTTATTAGGCACTCCGTTGTTTCTTGTTTAATTACACACATGTTCCGTCGAACTGTTGTATAAATGCAATATCACTCTCGTACTCGAGCGATACCGGCTCTATATCAGCAGCTGTGATTGCCTGCGGCCTCGTGCCTCTGGCCTAATCACAGCCATGCTGATATAGAGCCGGTATCGCTCTCTCTCGTACTCTCTCGTACTCGAGTGATATTGCTCATGTAAACCAAATACTGAACTGATTAAGTGGAATATCTGTACAAATGACAAAGTCTATAATTATTCAGTACTTTGGTACACAATATATCTATGTACTATGTTACTACCATCTGATGCTATAACTATACCATGGTACCAACATAGTACTGTTTGTAAGGGTTATAATTACAATATGACTTCATTACTTCATATTGTACTTTTATCTTGAGTAAAATGGGTGTGTGTGTGTGTGTGTGTGTGTGTACCACTGAATTCTTTCTTCAAATAAGTGAGAAACTCTTTTCTGCCCATTGGGTCGTTCAGCAGCTCCATGAAGCTAAAGCTCCAGCGCTCCACACGCAGTTTAGTTGGCACAGCAACTCTATTTCAGGAAAACACAGATATACAGAGCAATAACTGAGCTTCAGACAGGACATTAGTATACTTTAGGAGTTTAAAATGGTTATTCATGTGTGTTCATGTGACTCACGTTTCACAGTTCATGTTCCAAAACATGATATCATCTGTGATCCAGGGGATGCTGGGAAGACATCCTTGCATTATGGGGTCATGGGGCTGGTACTGCTCACAATACTTAACGTAACTGCACACACACACACACACACACACGCGTAAGGCCCTCACAAAGGGTTATGGTAAGAGTTCTTTTTAAAAGATACTTTGATGACAGTCCATTAGTTCTAGCCTGAAGACTTTGGCAGAGTAAAGACACACACACACACACGGATTCAGTACCTCTCAAGGCAAATTGAGGACTTTACACGGTTCCTCGCCAGGCTTATTCTGTTATGTTCAATCTAAAGCCGTTAAAAACATAAAAACACAAAAACAAGCTTGACAGGAGATAAATTTGGTTATATTTCACAGTACAGTGTGTGCTGCATATGGAAGGGATAATGTATAGTCTTAGTATAGTCTATAGATAATGTATACTTTTTTACAAGAAAATGAATTATGTTTATGTATTTTGAATTATGTTTCAAATAGAAAGCAGAAAATATAGAAAATAGAAAATATATGTATATATTTTAGAATGTAATT